TATTAAGATTCATGGTTGTAGTGTTTTTTGATAGGAATTGGTAGAGGAACGTTCCTCAAATGTACTGTTTATATACATGTAGTATGTATTATCAATTGAAATTGACTAATGAACGTTTGTGATATTGTGTGTTAAAACTTGTAAATACAGTGTCAAGTTAAAAGAGGAACGTTCCTCCAGTGTATATAGTGTCAATGTTTGAAATTGGATGAGGAACGTTCCTCAAATATGTTGTGTTTAGACTAGTTAATCCAGTGTCAATAGTTTGAAGAGGAACGTTCCTCCAGTGTACATGGTGTATATAGTATCAATATTTGAAATTGGAAGACGACTCTTCCTTTAATGCCTAATATTTGAAAATTCATGAGATGCCTACGGTAATAAGTAAATTTGAGAGAGGAATGTTCCTCAAATGCCCGATGTGTTCATTCATAAGGTATTTAAAAATACACACTGTATGTGCACATCTGTAAGAGAGAAATGTTACTCAAATGTCTGGTGATAATAAATGCATCTTAGTTTAGAGAGGGGAATGTTCCTCAAATGTTTGGTCATAACAAATGCACCAGAAGTTCAGAGAGAGGTAGTTCCTCAAATCTCTGGTCATAACAAATGCACCAGAAGTTCAGAGAGAGGAACGTTCCTCAAATGTCTGCATGGTCATAACAAATGCACCAGAAGTTCAGAGAGAGGAACGTTCCTAAAATGTCTGCATGGTCATAACAAATGCACCAGAAGTTCAGAGAGAGGAACGTTCCTCAAATCTCTAGTCATAACAAATGCACCAGAAGTTCAGAGAGAGGAACGTTCCTCAAATGTCTGCATGGTCATAACAAATGCACCAGAAGTTCAGAGAGGAACGTTCCTCAAATCTCTAGTCATAACAAATGCACCACAAGTTCAGAGAGAGGAACGTTCCTCAAATCTCTGGTCATAACAAATGCATCTGAAGTTCAGAGAGAGAAACGTTCCTCAAAAGTCTGCATGGTCATAACAAATGCACCAGAAGTTCAGAGACAGGAACGTTCCTCAAATCTCTGGTCATAACAAATGCATCTGAAGTTCAGAGAGAGGAACGTTCCTCAAAAGTCTGATCATAACAAATGCATCTGAAGTGTAGAAAGAGGAACGTTCCTCGAATACTTAAAACAAATCTTCAAAAAGTGAACTTGTGGAGACACATATAAGGATTTTAAGACCAAATGACTTCAGATTGTAAACCTTGGGTGAAAAAAAGGGAATTTTGATTTTCCCTTTTAGTTTTGGATTGTGTTTTATATAATGCAATCAATTGAATACAGTTTCACAATTTGAGGTAATGCATCAATATCTAACATCCAGAGAATTCATAAATTACAGAAAAAGACAGGGCGCTGTGTCCTAGATGATGCCTATGACAGGCCTTCATAACACTAATTTAAAAAAAAAAATGTTTGTCAGGACATGAAGAATTGACTATAAATAAGTTAGTATTATTGAAAAAAAGCTTTATGATTGAAGTCCAAACTACCTGTCTGATATGCTCAATTTCTGATCATCCATTTCCTACCATATAAGACATATTTCTAATTTTGACTTGTGTGTTTCAAAGCCAAACATATTGAAATGTCTCAAAATTCTTGTAGTATTGTAGAATGACGTACACCACACTGGGGGAGACAACTCTTGCGATTTCAATTGAACGTTTGACGTAACGTCAAATTTAGCGTTGGTAATAAAGCGTTATGATGACAAATACTACGATCACTGTGTATCAAACATAAAAGAAAATGGAACATGGGACTTGATTGTGATTATGAGTACCACAATCAATCCATTGTTTTTTTTTTTTTAATTAAACTGATTTACGCCCGTGAAAAATAAGACACAAAATATCATCCCTTGATATTTATTTCATTTCAGACACAATAAATTGTGTTCTTAATCAAAGTATAGCATTTTCTTTTCCTTAATATTTTATTTTAGCCTACATTGCATAAATTCTCGTTATGTACAATTGGCTACGTAATAACGTTCCGATTAATTGTGTATATTATAATTTGCACATACACGATATAAATATTGTTTTGTTTTTCTTTAATTAAAAAACAACAACACCAATAAGCAAACAAAAACTTTTTACAACAACGATGTCGTTTTCAGAGCCTTACTTATCAAAGAGGAACAACTCTAAAAATGTGGGTTTGTTTTCCTCCCTTTATTCACTGTTTTCCGCATACATGTATAGAATCAGCATCAATTAATAGAATCAGATACATTTACAGCAAGACCTGATAAATCCGAGAATTGGATAATATAGACCTAATACACACGATGTAAGTATAGGAATTGGAAAGGAATTGTTCATTAGTACTGCAATTATCTGGATTTATGAATATGCAGCAAATCGTTTGACTTTCTATCATTGTCAACAATGTCGGTTCGGATTTCCTCGATTCAAAACAAAATGTAAAGAATATCAATGAAGGCATGAATTAATATCAATTAAAGTAGATGAAGGATTTAACAGTTTGATATATTGAAGTGGACAAATACAGATTTTTTTTTACTTTAGAAGCATGCATACAATATATATTGTGAGGGGTGTGCATGCATATGACATTATTCAAAACAAAACGTAAAGAATATCAATGTATGCATGAATTATTATACAGGTAAACTTCGGTATCTCGACATCGGATATGTCTACAACCTGGGATATGTCGAGATATACGGAGTCATCGATGCGTGACAAGCAACCAGCTGACAAACAATTAGGTCAAGTAGACATATACCAGGTAAGTTTTGCTCTTGGGACTGTGAAATACGTCGAGATAATCAGGTTGTGGACATATCCGGTGTCGGGATACCGAAGTTTACCTGTAAATCAAAATTGATGAAGAATTTAACACTTTGATATATTGAAGTTAATGTGGACGAATACGGAATTTTATTTTTTTTATCTTTAGAAGCATGCATACAAAATATATTTTGAAGGTTGTACATGCATATGACATGTTTTGATGTATCCCCATGGCCATGCACTGAATTGCTTAAAATAATGATGTCGCAGGCGGGCCGATAGGTCGTCACACAAAAAAGAATATAACGACTAAGTTCTTTAAATATATCACATTTATTTGGCTAATACATAATTAAAAGTTCTGGATCGGAATGTTGTTCGGGTGGAATGGCTTCCTGGACCAATTTGGGATCTACAAAATCATTGTAAATTCACATATTATAACAATTGTAAATACTAACTTGATTCGGGCTAATGCATATTATAACATACAATATATACTTTGCATTTTACTGCATACTGCATTTTACTGCAAAACTAAAGCATTTTACTGCATACTGCATTTTACTGCATATACTAAAGCATTTTACTGCAAAACTCCATAAAATATTTATACGAAATATTTGTGTATAATAAACACCTACTTCACACCATACATTGTAGTTACTTCATACTATAATAAGACTATAATACACACGTATACTGTAAGCATACTACTAGTACTTGAAATGATAGCAATGCACACATTACTCAATCATGTAATTTACAACAAAATTTAGAACTAAGGTCCTTGGCCATTTCAGGAAACTGTATAAGATAATAAAACCTTTAAATTCATAAAACAAACTTACCTCAGAAGAGATGTAAAGGCTGGTCAAAATACTTTATGAAGAATACTACTAAGTTGTGAATACTCGAGCAAGTGAAGTGCGTCCGCTCTACTCAATTGCTACACCCAAACTGACCACTTAATAGCACGGGATTTAAAACCCGCCAAGTAAATTCTACTGAACAGATAAAATATTATGGAACACAGTTATGGCATTTAAATAAGTTATTTACATAGCGAAAAGGTGTATGTTAAAATACATGGAACAATGTTTGGACGTTAATTGTGACACACCTCCCCTATTCAAATAAGTACAAAGTACTTTTACAGCTCAACAATTAACGTATGAAGTAAAAAGAATTTCCCTTTATACTATATACATTTTTTTTTACTTTTTGCATTAAGATAAAATAATAAAAACACTGTTCTTATTGTAAACTCATTACTGACTGTCACTGATTCACTCCCGTCGACTCAAATAATCAGCTCCAACGTTTTCCTTTCCCCTTATTGCGATAATACGGAATCTATAGTGCTGAAGAAGTAGTGCCCACCTCATAAGTCTGGAATTCACAAGTTTAGTCCGGTTAAGATACACCAATGGATGGTGATTTGTCTCCAACACGAACTCCTTACCATAGAGATATCGGTGGAATTTCTGGACCGCCCATACAATACCTAGACATTCCTTCTCAATGGTAGCATAGTGTTCCTCACTGGGTTTCAACTTCCGGCTTGCATAAGCTACGGGTAACTTGATATCGTCTTCCTCCTGTAGCAGAACTGCACCTAACCCTTTGTCAGAGGCATCCGTCTGAAGAATAAAAACTTTTGAAATATCTGGTAATTTCAGTATAGGTGACTTTGTCAAGGCTGATTTTAAATGTTGAAATGCAATTTCCTGTGATTCAGTCCATTGAAGTTTATTTGACGAGAATTTCCTTGTAAGATCTGTTAAGGGAAGAGCAATATGTGCAAAGTTGGAAATAAATTTTTGGTAGAAATTTACCAACCCTAGGAAGGATCGCAATTGTTTCTTGGTAGTTGGACGACTTGCCTGTTGTATTGCTGATATCTTGTCGGTATGAGGTTGCACTTTGTCACCTCCAACGATGTGTCCTAAACACTCCAGTTCTTTGTAACCCACAGAACACTTGGTTGGTCTAGCAGTAAGGTTTGCTGCACGTAGACGCTGAAACACTTCGGAAAGCACAAGAACATGTTTATCAAACGTGTCAGTGAATATAAGAAAATCGTCAATGAAATTATCAACGTTTGAAACATTGTGCAAAACCTCCCGCATAAGTCGACAAAATGTCGCTGGTGCGGTAACTAAACCGAATGGCATTTTAGTAAACTGAAAAAGCCCTAAAGGAGTTTGAAAAGCAGTTAAAGGACGAGCAGACTGAGTAAGTGAAGTGGCACCTGCCAATAACTCTTAGAAAGATCTAGACGTGAAAAGAACTTGTGACCTGACAATTTTGCAAATATCGCATCCATATCTGGCATTGGCTCTGCGTCAAACACATTAATTCGATTAAGTCCCCTGAAATCTACACAAAACCGATAAGTTTTGTCTTTCTTCACAACCAAAACAATAGGTGACGAATAAAGACTTTCTGATTCTTCTATGACCCCCATCTCTAACATTTTACTTACCTCCTCCTTAACCCTTTCTATCATTGCAAATGGAATTTGCCTAGGACTTACTCTAATGGGTTTGTCTGTAGTTGTCCGTATGTCATGTTCCAATACATGGGTGTGACCTGGTTTGTCACTCAAAACGTCACTAAAACTATGCAGAAGTTCCATCAAAGTCTCCCTCTCCTGCTTACTCAGGTCTGGGTTCAAATCTACATTCTTGTATGTTTCTACCTTACATGAATCTACATACCCTTCTTGTTCATCTCCGTACTCCGACTCATCAATTTTATCTGAACTGACAACAGACATTGCAGAACTTACCAATGGAACTGAACGTTCAATATAACTTTTCAACAAATTAGCATGATAGGTTTTGAGTTTTCCATTCATGTCTAATTGGTAGTCAACATTACCTATCTTCTTGACAATTTGGAATGGCCCTTTCCACTGCATTAACAGCTTATTACTGTCAGTAGGTAGTAAAACTAAAACTTTCTCACCTGGCTTCATGTTACGACTTCTTGCTTTCTTATTGAAGTAAGCTCTGTGTCTCCTAAATGCTTTCTCCAGATTCTGATGGGCCAGTTCACAGGTTGACTCTAACCGGTCTCTGAGATCAAATACATATTGATAAGTGGACTTTACCTGTGAATCCTGTATTTCCCTCGTCCAAAGGTCTTTGAGAATCGTCATAGGTCCTCGAACAGTGCGACTGTACACTAGCTCAAATGGAGAGAAGCCTAAGCTTTCTTGTGGTACTTCACGATATGCAAAGAGGACGGCTGCTAGGTACTTGTCCCAATCCTTTGGTCGATCGATACACATCCTCTTTAACATCTGTTTCAACGTACCGTTAAACCTTTCCACTAGTCCGTTACACATGGGGTGGTACAGTGTTGTCGTCAGCTGTTTCACTGAAATTAGCCTACTTACCTCCATCGTAAGTCCAGATGTAAATTGTGTACCCATGTCTGCAAGAACCTCCTCTGGTACCCCAATACGCGAAAACATTTCTAATAAAGCCTCTGCAACCCGTTCAGTATCTATACCTGGGAGCGCTATAGCCTCTGGATATTTCGTTGCGTAATCTACTAAGGTTAATATAAATCGGTTACCTTTATCTGTCGCCGGATGCAATGGACCGATTATATCTACTGCCACTCTCTTAAATGGTACATCTATCAGAGGCATTCTGTCCAGCGGGACTTTGCTCACCTTACCTTTTGAAACAGTTCTCTGGCACGTATCACATGATTGATAGAACCGCTTAATTTCAGATTGCATACCAGGCCAAAAGAATTCTGACAAAATTCTGGATATAGTCCTACCTGTTGCTAGATGACCTGACATAACTGATTCGTGTGCTAGCTTCATAACAATCGTTCGAAATTTAGAAGGTACTATGAGCTGTGAAAAAGCCTTACCTCCTTCCTTTTCCGATGCTTGATACTCCCTGTACAAAAGTCCTCTTTTCTCTAACCATCCTACCTTCCCATTACGCGATATGAGACCTTCTTTTGCATTCCGACGTGATGTTTCAATGGATGGATCTGCCTGTTGTTCACGCTGTATATCCTCAGGTTTGATATCATCCTTGACTATATCTGGAACTCTAAGAGCTGGGTAAGGTTTCTTCTTTTCTCTTGCTTGCCGTCGAGTCTCCACTGCTAAGACAGTCTTTGGTCTCCACTCTGGGTCGGGATCATGGGGTTTCCTTGCGTCGTGTACCTCTCCAATGATCAAATCAAAAACAGGGTTTTCCATACACCAAACCTCACATTCACCTGTCACATATGGAGAATCTATACATACCTTTGCAAGTGGCACAACTCTTTTGGTATTATCTGCTAAAATACAAGTCTCACTTTTACCTGTTAAACTTTCATCTTTCACCAAGCTTCTCCTTACCACAATATTTTGACAACCAGAATCTCGAAGAAGTGTGACTGGTTGACCATGTACATATCCAGCCGAAAGTGGCATTGGTTTCCTAGTGCTGTGACATGCTGAAGTTAAAATGGTTGATTTGTCATATACCTGCGAGTACAGAACCGAGTTCTCACTGCAAACAAATGCAGAACAATTCTCTGTTGTTTTGTCAACGTCTCTGCGCTCATCTTTATGTACTAGCGCACCTGAAATCTTACCTTTGGATTTGTGGCACTGTGGAGCTATATGACCCTGCTTACCACAAATGTAACATTTTCTCTCTGTCACTGGAACGAACGAAGACTTCTGGTTTTGGGGTCGTTGCTGTAGATCTTTAGGTTTTACTTGCGTCTTACTTACTTGTACTTCCGTAGGTTTCTTCATAACCTTCGAACATAGATTTGAAGCGCTTGTGTTTCTCGCCTCTCTAAATTGGTCTGCTAGAATGCATAATTCATCTGCCGTCTTTGGGACGTTCTGTTTAAGAAACACCAGCAAATCATAATTGCACTTATGTAAGAACTGATCGCGAAGTGTAAGTTCAAAGAGAGCTTCAAAAGTCATAGAGATCTTAGACATTTCTATCCAACGAGTAAGGTAAGAACCTAATCTGACAGTAAACTGAGAAAATGTTTCACCATTTTCGGGACGACAAGAACGAAACTTTCTTTTGAAACCTTCTCCCGTCATATCATATCTCCGGAGTAACGCTGCTTTGAGCTCATCATAATCATCTGCTTTTGACTTTGACATTAAAGCATAAACCTCTAAAGCACGACCTTAAAGTAAATCACTCAAATGAGTTGACCAAAGAGATTTTTCCCATTTCATAGCTGTTGCATACCTTTCAAATCTTCGCAGATAACTATCCATCTCATCTCTGTTCTCTTCAAATGATGGAATTTTAGGGGTACTTGGTTTGACTGAGTTAATACTCACCTCATTCACTGATATGTTACCCTTCGTTGCCATTTCCATATCGTGTTCATCAGCCATCTGTTTCAGCTTAAGGTCATTGTACATACGTTCCAATTGTAGTTGGTACTCACGTTCATCTTTCTCCTTTTGACGAACTGCCGCTCTTTCTTCACGCTGCAAAGCTTGTTGATCGCTCACATATTTGCGTAAAGTATCGTCTTTATAGCCTAGTCTTTCTCCAGCAGAAATCAACTCCTCTAAAGTCTCCATTCTTAACAAAAATGTCAAATGTACACAACAAAGTGTATTTACTAACTCACTACTCTGTAAACATGTTTGACATACTACTACTACTATACACAATACTGAACAGTTGAGTTTGGGTGACACAATTGTTGATGAATTTAACTGATTTACTACTACATTACCGTGACCAGTCCCCACAACACACTCTGAAGTAGCTTGGCAATCAGCTTTTAAGGAAGACTTCTGGATCCAAAATAGCCAATGATCTTGTCCTACAATTACAGCAATCACAATGAAACAATTGATACTATGCAACATGGAAAAGCACGAATGATCATCTGTTCAAAAAGATGATAAATAAAATGCAGTTTACTTTAAACAGAATAAATACTTCTGAAAATACAATCTGTTTCAGATAAATAGAGTTTCAGTTATTCAGTTTTACTTATGATTTAACACTTCAAGAATTCCTGGTTTAGTCAGTTATAATTTTTTTTTCTGTCTGTATCCTGTTTGCCTTATCCTATAAACGGGTCTGTATCCATGGATTGTCACGTGGACGTCTCCTGTTGATAAGTTCCGCAATAAGACAAGTTGTTGAATCTACATCATCGATACAACACACTCTCACTGGAATCCTGGGATCTGTATTAATGGTGATAATCTATGGATCCCTGGAACAAAATTCCTGGATCTCCCTAGGTTGATCTCCTGGGCAGATCGCCTTGGGTGGATCATCCTGGGCGTATCCCACTTCTGACACCAAATGTCGCAGGCGGGCCGATACGTCGTCATGCAAAAAGGAATATAACGACTAAGTTCTTTAAATATATCACATTTATTTGGTTAATACATAATTAAAAGTTCTGGATCGGAATGTTGTTCGGGTGGAATGGCTTCCTGGACCAATTTGGGATCTACAAAATCATTGTAAATTCACATATTATAACAATTGTAAATACTAACTTGATTCGGGCTAATGCATATCATAACATACAATATATACTTTGCATTTTATTGCATACTGCATTTTACTGTAAACACTGAAGCAATTAACTTCAAACACTAAAGCATTTTACTGCATACTGCATTTTACTGCAAACACTAAAGCATTTTACTGCAAAACTCCATAAAATATTTATACGAAATATTTGTGTATAATAAACACCTACTTCACACCATACATTGTAGTTACTTGATACTATAATAAGACTATAATACACTCGTATACTATAAGCATACTACTAGTACTTGAAATGATAGCAATGCACACATTACTCAATCGTGTAATTTACAACAAAGTTTAGAACTAAGGTCCTTGGCCATTTCAGGAAACTGTATAAGATAATAAAACCTTTAAATTAATAAAACAAACTTACCTCAGAAGAGATGTAAAGGCTGGTCAAATTGCTTCTGAAGAATACTACTAAGTTGTGAATACTCGAGCAAGTGAAGTGCGTCCGCTCTACTCAATTGCTACACCCAAACTGACCACTTAATAGCACGGGATTTAAAACCCGCCAAGTAAATTCTACTGAACAGATAAAATATTATGGAACACAGTTAGGGCATTTAAATAAGTTATTTACATAGCGAAAAGGTGTATGTTAAAATATATGGAACAATGTTTGGACGTTAATTGTGACAAATGACATGTTATAAACTATAATTATTCCATTTTTATCACAACAGATGTGAACATACACAGTTGTCCTTTTTAAATAAATAAAATGAGAATAGAAAAAAAAGTAAAATTCAACATGTTCAACATAATTTGAATTCCTGTCAAGTTATTATGTGATATTGAATGCATAACACGTACATATATGGACTAAACACTTGGACATAAAATCCTTTAGTAGATTTTTCTTGATTACATAAAAAAAAGTAGTGAATATGTATTCTGCATTCCTGAATTAACAAACTAGTGTGTACTTCAGGGATTAATATGACGAAATATATATCTGCACTGTAACCGACGTTTTGTCAAACACTAGATCTAATGTCTTCGACGCAAAAATAGGAAGGGGTAGGGTGAAGGATGTATTAAAAAATTGCCGAAAAATCAACATTTGAGTACGCTGTACATATGAGAATTCTGATATATGTAAGCAAAAGCAAAATTCCAATTTAGATTTTTAAACATGCGTATTAGTATATTCATAGCGTAATTATCGACCCAAAATCTGAAAGAT